TTTAGGGTTTCGGGTTTTGGGTTTTGAGGTGTAGGGTTTAGGGTTTTAGAGTTTTGAGTTTAGGGTTTAGGGTTTAGGGCTTAGGGCTGAGGGCTTGGTCAAAATTATACACAATAGCAATCTCAACTATTTAAACACGAGCAGCATATGCATATGCATAGAAAACGTCAGGAAATGATGAATAACATATAGAAGATGTCGAAAGCTTCTCAGATGAGCAGTACGCATAGCCACGTAGCAAAAATCTACAATGTTTGATATTCTTTCTCATAGTCGCAAGGATTTTCATGAACTTTAACCCCAAAGCAATCGCCGCAAGGAATTCAAGGACAAGAGGATCGACAACAGCGAGAAGTTATGAACACTACGACATGCATGCACACATACCTATCTAGAATTTGAGTCAAAACCTGGCAAGCCGTTGCCTTGCCGCCTTGGTTTTTCACATTCCGAAACTGGACATGAAGTGATTTACGTCACATGCATGTTTAGAGGCCGGGAGAGCTCTGAAATTCCCGAAGAAACTTTGCTATGCACGGAAGGAACCGTCCTGTGTTATCACTACATGTTGTCCGAAGAGAATGCCTCAACTCGTCATCTGGAGAGAACTCATGTATTAATAAATTGACGGGTGCAAGTTCCGATTAATGAGGCTCCTAATCATTCTTCGGGCATGAATGCTAGGTCGAACGGATATGCACTGGGATATCAGCATGCGGGCGTGGATGCTCGGTCCCACAGTACAAGAAGCCAAGCATGCAAGCATCAACAGCAGCGAAAACCCTGGCAAAACACTGCAAAACCACGGTTTCAGATAAAACCCTGTCAAAAACCCAACAGCAACAAATAACAGCTAAATGAATATACAGAGCTGAAGACACCCACACAACCCGAAAACATGAAAACGCGTGGCGCATAGCAAAGGCAGAAGCAACAAGAAGGAAAAAGCAAAGGGCGGCCGGCCAGCCACCTGGCAAAAACGGCTACCAGGATTGATCTGAGCAGAGATCACCGGAAAATCACAGCAAATCTCGTAGCACCTGGAACCAGCAACAACAGATCAGAAGATTGGGGTTTAGGGATTAGGGTTTAGGGTTTAGGGTTTGGGGTATATGTCTTGACACCTACAGAAACAGCAGCATTCGCGACCAAAACCACAGTTCTTGAAAAGTGCTAATTGTCAAACCCTAAACCCAAGACCCCGAAACCCCTGAACCCTAAACCCATAAACCCTGATCCTTAAACCCCTAAACCTGGATCTCTAAACCCTTAACCTTTAAACCCTGGGCCATCTGGGCCTCAAACCATACCACCCTAATCGCCACCCTGTGTAAATCCTGAGGCCCAAACCCCTAAACGGCGCTAAACCCTGAATCCCCTTAACCCCGAAACTCTCAAAGGAAGAACTTAAACGAACCCTTACAGAAGCCCTTAAAGGAAGCCTCTAAGGAACCTTTATAGAACTCTAAACCCTTAAATCCTAAACCCTAAACCCCCAACCGTGAAATTCTCAAAAAGGAGCCCTAAAACCCCAACCCCCTGACACCCGAACCCCCTAAACCCTAAACCCTAAACCCTAAACCCTATATAAACCCTAAACCCTAAACCCTTAACTAAACCCTGTTCCCCAAGCCCTAAAGGAGCTGCTTGGGATCTGCCCGAGAGCTTCATCTTCATCCGGATCGGTGACATCGAGCACGCCGTTGGCGCACGCGTCGGCGTACCAGTACTGGATGCCACGGTCATCCCACTGGTTCCTGCGACTATGAGGGTTTGGGGCTTTAGGGCTTAAGGGTTTAGGGTTTAGGGTTGAGGGTTTGGGGTTTAGGGTTTAGGAGTTTATGGTTTAGGGTTTAGGGTTTAAGGGTTCAGGGTTTAGGGTGTAGACTACTTTTTGTAAGGTTCTGCAATCCTACTTTTGAGTTTGCAGGGCTTAAGATAGGCAGCTCTACTTTTCTAGGGTTTCTAGTTGGATTTTTCTACGAATGCAACCACCTGAAGAAAACGTCGAAGTGGCAAAGCAGAAGCAAAACGCAGCCAGAAGGTTTTGTTGCTGACGTGTTGCCTTGGCGAGCTGTTGCCCTGTCGCAGCTTGTGCAGATTGTGGCATCATGCGACTGCAACCTTTAGGGTTTAGGCCCTAAAGGGTTTAGGGTTTAGGGTTTCGGGTTCAGATTCTCCTCAGCGCTGTGGTCCGTCAGCCCGTAATTATTCGAAGATTTCAGGACCCCCACCCCCCCAAAACTCCTGAGCAAGAAGTATTGGCGGCTATAAAGGTGCTTCGGCTCATTGGGTTCACCAACCGCATAGCACAAGCTCGGGTATCCACCCGCAGACCGAAGGACCCATATTTTGCACTCGTCCAGAGACCTCGGCACGATACAGCTTGAGAACACAATGCATGAAGACCAGCTCATAGCTGAAATAAAACTCCTGCTGCCAAGTGCAACAGAAAGACGCGGCTCGTCTGGGAAACTTCTTGGCATAGAAGCCCCACCAAGACGTGCTGAACAACGCATCATCGGCAGCATCCCTCAAGGTCTGCAGGTTGGCCTGCCAGCTTCGGGCCGAACGATGAACATACCATAAGCCACACAAGTCGCTTTTCCAACCTTTACAACACTTTCATTCCAGAATTGTTCCCCTTCCTATGAGAACTAGCATGGTCATGGGAAGCATCAGAATCACGGGCATCCTGAATGTAGGCAGCAGCGCAGAAATTTTGCATAATCACCTCTGCTTCCTACGACCTCATTTCCACCAAGATGGTCACATTTTCCTTCATTCGCTCCATCTCTGCTACGAAGTTCACCGCGCCACCTCGCACAAATTGCCCCAAACCCGAAACCCTAAACCCTAAACCCCTCCTTCTTCATAGCCTTCGTCTCCCTGGCATTCCAATAAGGTTCGAAACAAGTTCGATCACTCCAAGTATGCACTAAAGGCTCGTGAGCTGCTGCCATATGCGGGGTCATGTGTGTTTATATATACATATGATGGACAGATAGCTAGATAGATAGATAGGTAGATAAATAGATAGATAGATAGATAGATAGCTAGGTAGACAGATAAGACTGATAGATAGAGAGATAAGATAGGTCTTTCCGTAGATAGATAGATAGATAGATAGATGGATGGATGGATGGATGGATGGATGGATGGATGGATGGATGGATGGATGGATCGATAGATACATAGATAGGTAGATGCATAGATAGATAGATAGATAGATAGATAGATAGATAGATACATAGGTACATAGATACATAGATAGATAGATAGATAGATAGATAGGTAGATAGGTAGATAGGTAGTTAATTGGATGGATAGATAGATAGATACATAGATAGGTAGATAGATACATAGATGGATCGATAGATAGACAGATAGATAGATAGATAGATAGATAGATAGATAGGTTAATATACTGATAGTTAGTTAGATAGATAAACAGATAGATAGACAGATAGGTACATACATAGACAAATTAATACATAAATAGATAGGTAGGTAGGTAGGTAGGTAGGTAGGTAGGTAGGTAGGTAGGTAGGTAGGTAGACAGACATATAGGTAGGTAGATAGAAAGATAGATAGCTACATAACTAGATAGGTAGGTAGAGAGGTAGATAAATGCACATCTTCATTTGTGAGATAACAAATATGAAACATATAACATAAGGTCTATAAAGATGCACATGATGCCGACAACTTCTGTTGCTGGTGCTCACCCCTCACGACGGTATTTCGCCTGCTGCTGCTCTCGCTGTTTAGCGCTGCTCACCAGTCCAACTACCAGTACCGCTATTGGCTATTACCAACACTAATGCCACCGATGCCACCACCACCAGCACAAACACAAACACCATCGCCACTACTGCTACTACTGATCCTACTGCTTTTACTATCACTACCACTACTACTACTACTACTACTACTACTACTACTACCACCACCATTACCACTACCACTACCACCACTTCCACCACTTCCACTACTACTACTACTACGACTACTACTACTGCTACTACTA